TACATACATACATACATACATACATTCATACATACATACATACATACATACATACATACACACGTGCACACATGCACACATGCACACACACATACACACATACACACATACACACACACCAGACCAAAACGAAAAACACCAACCAATGGTAGTATTTTTCCCACCACGAGGGGCCTTTCACTGTTTGAGTTGTCCAGCACGAGCTGTCAAGCGCAACGAGGCGGCTTCGCTGCCCTTGATTGTAGCCCGTCTTCAATCGCTTCAGGAGGGTCAAACAGTCGAAGATACGGCGCTTTCTGACAATGTTCGTTGTGAAGGAGTTCGAGTGACTTGACGGGTGCGGTCAGCCAGGCCTTACACTTGCAGAGTGCATCCTTTGCCTCCCGGCTCAATGCGCTGGAGAAGCAGCAGGTCAGGAGTCTTTGCAGTGTGAGTACCAGGGAAATAGAGCACTGGAGCTTCAAGAGAACAACAAACTTGAGGGACGTAACATTAACCACACTTTCAGGATTCATGTTGTTTCCTTCAAAACTTGAGGAGGTACTGAGCATCAATTCTGTCACAGGTACCACTTGTCCCTAGTTACCTGGTCCTCCTTTGACAGGAAGAGCTGGCAAAGCTGCTCGAGACCACCTCCGAAGCTGTTCAGGAGAAACCAGTCGACTTGGCGAACTGACTGGCACCAGTGTCCAGAGATGTTTGACACGAAATGTGATTGCGTTTGCATTTGACTGAATGCAAAGCCAATGTTCAACCCAAAGAGCACCAGGGTCGCTGTTGGGAGGATCTTCATTCTGGGCTTCGGGAAAACATGAGCATTGTGACTTGGCACTCATTAGCTGTTTGTGCATTGCTGATGTTTGACATGGGTTCTTGGCAATAAAACTTGAGGGGAGGACAGTTTTGAAGGTTGGACCTGCACCTGAATTGAGGTCAGAGACAACATGAAAAGCCTCGAGGAGAAGCTTGCGCAGGTGGGTTGACATTTCCATGGCAAAATCCAGCTACTTGAAGGTCTTCTGTTTGACTAGGCTCCTAGGGGCCAGGGCTTCTAGGTCCTTTCAATTTGTATTGAAGTGCTGTATCATTAATTTTAGAGGATCGGCACCGACCTGCTTAGGCGGTGCGCAGCTGACGACTCGAGGCTCATGGATATGAGTTGGCATTTTGCAATCCTGTTTCGCACAAAATCTAGGAACCGAATCATTAGCGTGAGCTATCCTGCGTCCTACCTAGAAACTTGCTCCCTTACTTAGATAAGTAGGCGCCTACTTAGTATACCTAATTAAGTAGGAGGGCGGGGCCACAGGCTAAAAAGAGTATCAATCATTTCCCGAGTTACTTCGTTCGTTGCAGGAGCTGAGCTTGAAAGTTGGGACTGAAAAAATGGCGGCCGTTGAGAGGTCAGGTCAGAGAAGTTGGTAGCCTTGGGCCTGTTTGCTTTGCAAAACAGGGTCAGTCAACCTGACCGGTTCCTTGATTTGTGTCCCATTTCTGTGGGAACAGTTCATTCAGTTGGGACAAAGATGAATGGACTTGAAATGCAATTTGGCTCACAAACGTGGGGAGTTGATGTTTGCCAGAAAGGCATCTTGGCAGCAATGCGCCCTTTGCTGCTTTGAGCAGGTTGACGAATCAAGTTCGCATTCATCCTATCTCTGCTCGACAATGTACAGTAAATTAGTTCGATTAAGTTACAAGTTACAACTTTTTACTTGTAACCTTAGTAACCTCTTACGAATGTGCGCGCATTTCGTTACAAGTTACACATGTGCACAACCTTGCCTGCTACGATGTAAAATATTTTTCATTCTTTCCTCTTGAGCCTTCACCTGAGGCCAGAGCAGGCTGCCATGGGCTGCTCCGGCGCCAAGCCTGCTCAACAAGGTATGCGGTGTGACGGTTTGAGGGTGGTCTACGGGTGGTCTGCCAGCACTGCCTCATCCATTGCTGCTTGTGTGTGAGCCTTTTGGTCGGTGGGTCTATGGTTCTATCATGTTCTATCCCTGAAACAGCCAGGCCAGTTGGGGCTTAATGTGCAGGATGCGCAGTTGGTGAGAAGCACCATTGAGGCCAGGGGCCTTGAGAACCAGCAAGTCTGAAAGTGACGGATTCCGCTGAAGAGTTATGTGATGTGCCAGCTGCTGTATGGAGTTCTTGCTCTTGCCTGCGCACGTCATGTGCAGGCCAAGATTGTCCTGTTGGGCGACTCTGGTGTTGTCGTGCCCTCAAGAAGACTTGAGATGTGTTTGCATATTTGGATCCCACAACGAAACCATATGATCCTTCAGTTTCACGGTTTATATCGTTCCCATGTGAGTGCTGGCCTTGTATGAGTCTGTCCAGGAACAAAGCAGACAGGTTTCTCATTCACTCCACAGCTGCAGACTCTGCAGACTTTTGCGCCAGGGCAAGTCGTCACTGGCTTTGCGCTTTTGCCAGGGTCGCTTCAATCCTTACCATGAGGCTCCCGACAAGGATAGGGTTCACAAGTCTCAGCTAATTGAATCTAAATCCCAAGGATGACGTAGCGGTTCCAGAACATGGTCCGACATGACACAGCGAATGCTGTGGGCTGGGGCCATATGGCTGGGCCCCTCGGTATCGCACCACCTGGCAGGTCACCATTGGTGCCGCCTTTTTGCAGCAGATTGTGCGATTGCGCCACTAGGCCAAATTCATGTTCATCGGACTGGGTCAATGAGCCGCGGATTCCATGAAGAAATCACTCGACTCTATTCCTTCTCTGGGGTCTAGGCAAGGAGAAGGAGGAGGAGGTCTGGGGTTCAAGCAGCTTCCCAGGCGCAACTCGAACTGAGGAGATGGCGGCCAATTGAAGCTTCACGTTTGGGATACAGGTGGACAGGCACGGCGCTTGTGTATTGCCAACACACCACTGGCCCACAGAGGTGACGCATATCATTCAAGAATACTGTAGATGACACTTGAGCATTGTTGCTCGCTTTAGGCTTTGCTGGTTGCTTTTGCTCATGCTGTCCGGGACATTGCAGCTGCGCTTCCTTGTGAGGAGCGCTTTCGAGCTATGACTCACTTGTACTACCGCGATGCTGCGGGTGCGGTGCGCCGGCAGCATGGGCCGGGTGCACGAAGGCGGAATCCCTGTTGAAGGAGACCCGGAGCCTCTCCTATCTCAATAGCGATGGCCTCCGTTCACTGGAGCAGGGAAGAGGGGTCGGCAACGACTCAGGTCATAGTTTACGACTGCACTGATGCCCATTCGCAGGCAGGGCACAAGCTGGTCAAGGAAGTTCCCAGCTGGGCCCGCCCACCGAAGCTTTGGCCTCACAGGGGAGTATAATTATAGTTTTTTTGGGGCCACTGTCCTAGGAGAACATGTGGCCAAGCGTTCTTGCACCACACAGGAAAGAACTTTGGGATAGGGTCTCCAGCATGCAGTGGAAGACTGTCTTCCCCAAACCAGGCTTGCTTAAAGGAGCACACCTGTGCCCGTGTCAAACACATTGATTGGAAAGGGTTTGTTGGCATGCTAGATACTTTCGACCGCCCAGATCGTTGGAGGCTTCCGTGGACTATTGGGTCCAAGAGTTGCAGAACAAGGTGGATCGCACTTGGCGTCGGCTAGCGGACCATGGAGTTTCTGGGGAAAAAGGGAAACGAGGCCACAAAAAGCCAGAGTCTGCAAAGAGTACATCAGGCTCAAAACCAGTGGACGTTTTGATTCCCAAGAAAGATCCTCATGTGTCAGAAGTCGGTCACCAAAGGATGTTCTCAAAATGGCCAAAGATTTCGCTGTTGTTGCAGGGCCCGGCACGATGTTGTATGGCTGTGGCAGCCAACAAGCCCACGCCTCGGTACCTTTTAGTCAAGATAAGTCATAGAATGGTCATAAAAGATGTAACTGAGGAGCGATGTGGAGGCAAAAGCCGTGGATCCAAAGCAGATGAAGGCATCAATGTGCTCAATTTGGTCCCACTTTTGCTTCTTTGTTTTGGGCTCAAGGGGACCTGTGCTGTCAGGCTGTTTAGTGGTGATGTAGACCTTTTCCGGGAGGTCTCTTCATTGCATTTGTCCTTTCGCACCGCATCGACAGGCCATGTGCGAGGAGAAAGGCCTCCTTTTCGCTTGGAGCCCCAATGAAATGTGCAAACATGCAAGATTCCTCGGAAGGGCAGCCCCATCCCTCGGAAGCACACGCAACTTCAGTTCGCTTCCGGATTCCTCTTGGAGCAAACATGTCCTCCTTCCTTCGGAAGAAAGGAGGCCATTCGACGGGACTCAATCCGACCCGTCGACCGGTTGTTATCCACGTCCAGACCGTGAAACGCGGCTCCAGGTGGAAACCTCGGCCAAGACGGGTGAGAATGTACGACCCTGACCGCCGACTCCTCTCATCGGAATTTGGTTGGATCCAATTTGCCACTCCTCTCCATTGGTTTGTGGTGCAGACCTTGTGATGTTTCTTAGCGCCAATGATGTCAACTGCCTTGATTGGGTTGGTCAGCTAAATGCTAATCTCGTGTCCTGTCGATCAATTATGTCGTGCAACGTTGACACATGACACCGTGGGCACATGTGGCGTGTCATGGCTCTGATTCCTCTCTAAAAGCCTTGGAACCGCGTCCGACCAATTGACCAAGGAGGATGTCTACACATGCATTTGGTGCGAATGCCCCTCTTGAGAATCTTACACAATTGGCAAATTTATATAAACTTGTTGAGACCCAAACGGATATTGATCATGACCTGAAAGCATCTAGCAGAGTAAGCACAGCAGATTCAGCAACCTTTGCATGGCGTGAGACCGCAATGATGCAAGATGCAGGGCGCTTGGGATTTTTGCAGTCAAGTGTTCACGGTGGCCTCAGTAGTAAAAAGTAGAAGTTGGACAAAGATTTTCACAAGATATTTTCAGTATTTTCTATAGTTGTTGTCATGTCCCTTTGCTTTTCCAGGGTTGCAACCTATTTGTAGAGGAGAGTCGCGAGGCAGAAGAAGTGCTTCGTGCCATCGAAGAGAAGAAGGTTGAGGCGATGTCCGAGTCGGCGTGATCACTCGGCGATCTCCAGTGGGTCACCGAGTGTTGAGCCGACAAGCGCAAGGCACAGCAAAGCACCGCACAATGCTGTTTTTGCCGACTCTGGTGACCCAAGGGCATCGCTATGAAGGTAGCTCCTGGCATTACTACTAGTAGCAAGAAGCTGCTAGCAACAAAGGGCATCGCTACTAGGAACAAGAAGCTACCCCAACAAGTGCAGGTGCGCTTGGCTCAAGCCGAAGCCCAACGTGAACGGCATCAGCTGGAGCTGGAGCTCGGGTGCCTGAGGAAGAACCTGAGCTGGGCTTTCACGGTTAGCTGCCAGGATGGTTGAGTGCTTTTTTGCCGCAGATTCTATTTGACTTTAGTACTTTAGCACATTTCAAGTCGTTTTGCCCTATGTTGTCCAAATAAACAAATATCTCTAAGGCTTTGAGAAGAAACGACATTCTAAGCCTAAGCCATTGTTGAGGTGGCAACGGCTTCAGTGGCAACAGGAAGCGCTCCTTCAGGAGTCCTTTGCTGGTCTGGCTTCTGAGGTACTTTTCGACGGAGTAGTTGCAGTGATGTTCGTGGCTGCATCACTGCATCGCTGAAGAGAATCTTTTTTGGAGATCACATCTATTCCTCTTCTTCCTTTCTTGTGCTTAATGTGGGGGATGTGGATGCGGAGGTCACACCCTTTAGGTACTCCATGGTCCATGACTCCACAGTATATGGCATTTTCTGCCGAGCTCTGAACAACTGGAAGCGAGGAGAGGCGGGCTGTGCAGAAGCTGAAAGCGAACTTGGAGGTGGATTTGAGCAATCGCAAGTCACGACATTGGTACCCTAAATCACCATTGTGTGTTTGTGAGCGCAAGCAGTCAGATACCTAAAGCGTGGAAATATATAAGTCTTTTGCAATTTTTGTTTGCTGAATGACAGACCTAGCTTTGCTGCTCACCTTGTCCGTACAACTTGAGCGTTTGCATTGCACACCCGTTCTTCTTTGATAGAATGACACATACCCTGGAACAGAGCTCTCATCTCTCTCATCTCCAGGCCAAGTATGCCGTTTGCGAGGTGGAGTACCACGGGCACCAGGCATGGGGCATTTTGTGTCAGCCGTGAGCTCCTCTTTGCACCAACCTTTTCTGAGGTGCGCGGCAAACGCCGGGCAGGGCCTGCTTGCTTGGGCGATGACTCCAGCGGTATGGTGGCTGAAATTTGACGGTAGCAGTAGCACCTTCCCACACCCTTGGTAAACAACTGACATATCTATGTTTCTCACACTTTATGCCATTGTGCTATTCGGGCAACACAGTTTGGTTTTTGTCTTTCTCCCTGAACAATGGGTTGGTCTTGTTCTGTCAGGTCCAAGCTGGTCGTTTCTCTCTGTCTTGACAGATGGAGGCATGCAGGGGTTAAACTGACGAAGGGAATGACGGATTACAACTTAGACGTAGTGATGAGACATGCACTGCACATTGCATGAGCACCGCTTGTTTCATGACAGTTGTACTCTGGACTTGCTCACAGCCATGTGGCTGACGCAGCAGAGCATAAACAACACAGCCATGAAACAAGGCACACACGTTCTGGGTTTGATCCAAGAACTCGACGGATTTTGGAGCTCTGTTCGCTGCCAAAGTGGTAATCCTCGCCAATCTATCCATCTTTATTAAAGCAAAACTAGGGATGCAACTTAGGCCCAAAGGTTCGCTGGTGCACAGCCACAACAGTGCAAGAGGCTAAGCCGCGGAATGGAACTGGAACCTCTTAGGATGATGTCAGCCGAATCTCGATGGCTGGCGGATGATGTGGAGGACAGCAGCGATGATCTCCTTACCCCTTCAGTACATCTTTTGTCTATTCCATTTACTTGGTGGTCTGGATTGTGGTATACCACGTTTTTTAGCGTGAGACAAGCGTCTCTGCTCCACTGTCAGCTACCCATTTCCATGTCTCTCCGTCTAACCCGTCTAACCTGTCACATGTGTGTTTGTGCAAAGTGTGGTGAGGGGGATAGCTGGTACAGCTGGAGAACCACAACTCTTGCTTCGCGCTGCGAGGACCTGCTGGGCCTTGCTGAGTGGTCTAATCGGAGGATTCATTCTGGGCTATCTACCACACTATCTGGAGAGCAGACAGCGATTTGTCGAGCCCAGTGGAGTTGGAGCCGACTTGGTCTTCAGGGTTCAGAGGATCTTCAGTCTTCAGAGCAAGTTCCAGAAGATCGATGTTCTCAGATCTGACTTTTTCGGACACATTCTGACGATTGATGACGATTTGATGCTGACTGAACGAGATGAGCCGCTGACCTGAGCATGAGCATTTTGATACGTATATATATATATAGCACAAAGAAGATCATTGTATCCTGAAGAGTTTTTTGGCTTCTGAAGATTAGGGGTCGACATCATGGAGCTTTGATTCTTGATCTTTCCCAACCAATCTTCTATTCTTTTGAACCCTTTTGAACCCTTCTTGCCTGAATGTTTGTTGTTCTTTTGAAGGTCTTGGAGCTCTGTTCCGTTGGGTTCTTTTTCTTTCAGATGAATAGTGAATAGTAATCAGAATTTCCTCCATTCATGGTGCTCCGGTGTTTCTGTCAGGTTCATCTACCACGAGATGATTGCACATGTGCCCGCAGCATATGTCCCAAACGCCCGTGACGCTTTGATCATCGGCGGAGGCGACGGCGGCACAGCGAAACAACTCTTGCGGCGGCCTTCCTTGGTGAATTTGACGGTTGTGGAACTGGACGAGGAGCTTGGGGAAGTGAGCTGTGGAGCATTGATAAGCTTGCCAGTGGTGGTTGCATGTGTCATGCTGTTGCCGTTAAGGCGCACCGGGGATTTGGTTGAGTTGGACATTCGATCCCTGGATTGCCCTGATGTGGAGAAGCGTCGGCCACAAACAACAGGATCGGACAACAATATGTTGGGATGATTATGATTTGATGCTGTTCGGGAGTGCACTTGGTGTGGGTGTAAGTGAACTGGCGTCGGCTTTGCTACCAAAACACCTATATACATATATAACATGTGGTGGTCCTGATTCTTGACCATCTTCCGACCACACAGCTGACAGGAGGTGGTACATGTCTGCCGCCGCTTCTTCCCCAGGCTGCGGGTGATGCATCTCTCTGGCCTTGGAGGTTCTTCTTGTGACTCACGAGGCCAACATGCCCACTCCCCCAAGACTTGAAGCTTTTGCGGGAAAACATCCCTCTCACGCCCCTGTGGGATTTGGATTTTTGGAACCTGCTGAACTGAGATAGCTTGTGGCATCACCTTTTCTGTGGAGGCAAGTCCACCTGCTAGATATTACATAATGCCTCATGTGGAAGAAGCTTCAATGTGAGTTTTCATGGGCAACCGAAGTTGGGTCCGCGGTCGTTGGGTCGTCCACTGTGGCAGGTTGGCTTCCTCTTTTGATGATCCGCGGGTGACTTTGTTGTTTGCCGACGGCGCTTCATGGGTGTCCAGCGCGGAGAGCCGGACGACGCTTGGTGGGTTAAGGCGGGAACAGCGAGGGAAGAACAGCAGGGCTTCCGGGAAAGGGATGCTTCGCAACACGACGTATTGCTTGTAAAGTACAGCCTTTTCAAGAATGCAAGAAGATGGCAATTTGATGCAACATGTATGACCAATATTGGAAGAGTGGAGGTGGGGTAAGGCTATGTGTTTGAAGTTGATGTGGCATTAGCTGAATGCAGAGGGTAGCCGTTAATGTCAAGAGGCAGGAAGAAAGAGACCCCAATTCCCCAATTGTCACAATTCCAGCTTCTCCACGTTTGCAAGTAAGATGCTTCGCAAGGTGCCATGTGTTCGGGGAGACCGCGCATCTTGGGGGGGGAGGGAAGATTGTTGAGTTGGTCACGCAAGTCCCTGGTTAATTGAACTGGCCAGAAAAAACCTCAGAAACCAACAAAGACTCCACATGTTGGCCCTTGTGTAGTATTGATCTCTATTTTGGTTTCCTCGAATAACTCAGAACAGATTACACTGAGGTTTGATCTCATTATTGTGGACTCCACGGATTTTGGCGCCGCCCAACCGCTGTTTGAAGAACGATTTCATCGTCACTTGCGGCGCATCCTCGCGCCCGGGGGCATGTTAGTGACTGGGCGCCCTCTCTCAAACGAACTGAAAAGCAGTTGTAGCTGGTCGACCACAGCAGATCGTGCAGTGTGTGGATTCCTTTTGTTGATGTTCGGTATGTCATTTCGCCCATGGTGGAACCCGAGGCAAGGATCGATCCATGGGTGATACTACTAGTAACAAGTGCCACGTAACAGGTGCCTTACTACTAGTAACAAGAAGCTATTAGAATTAAGTTAACATTAACTTAAATTACCTATGTTTCTCCATGACACTCTTCATCGATCCCACCGGGAAACCCTGTGGACCTCTAGAGGTGATCGTCAGTGACACGGACCACCTCAGGTGATCAACCTCACCTCCTTGCCATGGCAGCTGACCTCGGTTCAACGGAGCGTGGCGCGGCAGCGGCAGATCTTCCGGCATGTGCGGGTCTTCCAGATTTACCAGCCGAGCTACACATCAGGTGGCGGTGTGTTCAAGGCTTCATGTGGATGATAGCTCAAAGGGAAGATGTATACAATGATATATACCTATATGAGCTGCGGATGTAGGGGCCGACGTCTGAAACATTGTCCATGGGTACTGTTTGAACATTTGTTTCCACAGGCGCTGAAGAGTTATGATGGATGGTGTGTTTTGACAGGCCATTACTGCTTTGCGATTTGCTCCAATGATCTCGATGCACAAGATCTAGGCGTTTGGGTTTGGGTGATGATTCTTATCACAGGGCCGCCATGGCAACAAAAACAAACATCACAAAACATATGGGATACACCTCAGCATTTAAGAAGGAGTCCAAAGACCATGAGTTTTAGGTGGTTTTAGTCTATTGTTCCATTTCGAGGGAGTCTTTGGGGGTCTCTGTATTGATTCCTTTCAATACTAGCAACTCTCGCAGCCAAGCGCTTGTACTGTTCTATTTTGACGGGGTTGGGAATCTACTGCTGAAGATCGAACCACTTCAGATGTCCTTGTTGTTTATATATATATATATGACATTTTATAACCTATTCTTGTCCCCGGAAAGAGGGATGCTACAGAGTTGCTCGCCAGGCGCCATCGATTGGGCGGCCGCCACACGTGGCTTAGAAATGCAGAACCTTGGAGAAAACAACATGTACTTAAACCCACAGAACGGCTGATTGTAGATTGGATCGGGTCGACTAGGAGACTTCCTCCAAAATCTGGGAACCAAAGGACGAAAGCAGGATAGCGTGAGCTATCCTGCGTCCATGCTAGTAACTTAAGTAAGGTACTAGCTACCTCAGTTCCTTACTTAATCAAGTAGGCGCCTACTTAATTAAGTAGGGAGGGGGCGGAGCGGGCCAAACATAGGCAAGGGTTTCTGGGTAGTCTGTCGAAATTGTTGCTTTAATCCTTCTCAGGTACTACTCCCGTGAAGTGCATCAGGGTGCCTTCGCACTCCCCGAGTTTGCAAAGAAGGCATTGGGCCGAAGAGAACAGCGAAGACGGGTGCGGACGCCTGGCGTGTGGAAGTGTGGGATGGGAGGAACGGGTGGTTGGGAGAGGTTGGTGAAGTCTTGAAGTTGCGCACATCAGAAAGTAGTAGCGTCCGATCGCTCCTAGTAGCGATGCCAGGAGCCCCTAGTAGCGTCCTTGCTCCTAGCTTTGGTTGCAATTCATTGTTTTGCTTTTAGATTGTGAGTGCAGCTGTCCTTACATCAGGGATGGTTTGGCAGGTGCTCATTAATATAGCTTGTCATCACTATATACGGTCCGTTCAAAATGGTGATGTCTGCCAGGTATATATACTTAAAGCATGCATCGGAGAGCTTATTTCGCATTTGCATCGGCAGGAGGAGCTTTGACTGGGCTTCCTTGAAAAGGTTGAAAAAAGGGCCGTCTTGCTGCTGGCTGATTGCACAAAGACGCTTGTTGGGAGCTGATTCACGAGAAGATGTGCAGCTCTATTCTTCGCCTCGTTGCAAGGGCAGCTTCTGATTTGATAACGAACAGTGAAAACCTTGCAACGTGCATCGTTTGGACAGATCCTTGTGGTGTTTTGATGTGTTTCGTGTCTTCCTGTGTTTTCCCCAATCCTTGACCTTTGCAGAACACAGGTTCCTGGTTCGAGAGCTGCTCCTGCCCTGGCCATGGGCTCAGTCGGACGGGGTTATGCTGAGTCCCCCAGACCCTTCCCCAGCGCGTCACGGGCCAACAGCGTGCGGGGCAGGTTCAGTGTGGGCGGCGGCAACGGCAGTGTGGGCCGAGGCTCCAAATCCAGGGAGGCCGCAACCAGTGGCCGACCGGAGGCGTGGGAGGCAGATTTGGGGAGTGAGGTGCGAGGGAGCAAACAGCGGCCATGGAAGGGATCCACATTTTTGGGAGTTAGGAACCTCTGGTCTGAGCTGAACAAGCACTTCCCAGTCTCTCAGTGTTCATACAGCGAAAGGTGGGGACCGCGCTGCCCTTGGCAATGCCAGAGGAGATGTGATGCATGTGGTGTTTTGACAGAGAAGCTCTGGGGTGGTGGTGTTGATTTTAGGAAATACAGGTCCGATCAAACCCAGGTGATTTGCACAGGTCTCCCCATGGATGCTTTTGTCCTGTGCAGGAGCTTCAACTCACGATAGCGTCTCCATCTGGCAGGCTGGGCAGGGGAGGGATGCCCAGCTGGTAATCTTCTGTCTCCACATAAGCTCCACATTCTTCGCATTTAGGAGCAAGGACGCTACTAGGGGCTCCTGGCCTTACTGCTAGGACCCTAGGAGCAAGCTACTAGGAGCAAAGGGCATCGCCACTAGGAGCAAAGGGCATCGCCACTAGGAGCAAGAAGCTACTCCAGAGGGGTTCTTTTCTTTCGAGGTTGAAGACCGCCCCATGCCACGCACCGAGCAACGCGCCTCCATGAGCTGCAAGATTCACAAGAGCCGCGCTTGCGAAAGGTTGAAGTTTGCTTCACAACCAGCGATGAACTTGAGTCTTTACAGACTCTGCAGGCCATTGCAGGAGTTTGTTTGAGTTTGATTGAGTGAGGCGAGCTTCCCTCTATCCAAGAGCACGCCTTGCTGGAGTCCCTGGGAATGCACTGGGATGTTGCAAAGGGCACAAAACGGCTGGCAGGGTTTCATTTCAGTCTTCCAAAGTATTATATAATATATACACCGGCGTGCGGAAAGTTGCGCTTCTTAACTTCTAAAACATCACACACCCTTTCCCCTTAGAATCCTACGTGTAACATGTCGACACCTAAGTGGCGGTCAGATTTCCACACCTGAAAGCCTTATAAGTATTTGTAAGTATTATAAATTAAACGGGTGTGGAAATCTGACCGTGCTGTACCTGCCACGCAAAATGGACGTGTTAATCCGATCCGCTGTAGACCGCAAGTGTCACGTTGGAACAGAGTAAGAAGCGTAAACTTTAGGGTTCTTGAAGTATATATATATATATAAATGGAGAAACACATGGTCAACCTTCTTAACTTATTGACGAACTTTAAAGGGAATCGGAAGCCATCCATACACATTGTGACATGACTCTTGCGGGCGGGGCGGGGTTGTGTTTGTGAATATTCAGTTGATCTCAGATCACTGTCAGGGATGAGTTCAGACTGAGCCGCACCTTGTCCAGTGCACGTCGCGGTGGGGCTTGAGCCTCTCAGCAGGTTTGTCCCAAGCAAGCAGTTCATGTAGCAGAAGCTGCGACTTGGGCCTTTTGATAGTATGCTTGAAGGCTTCAAGCAAGGTGTCAGATGCTAGTCATGCCTTGTGTTGAAGATGAAGACAGAAGACTTGCTTGAGCGGACCTGCGAGAGCCATGACGGCCATCGGGCCATGGCGAAGAGTTTTTTAGACCCGAATGGTCATCACCAGGGCAAGTCCGGAAGCTCGCAAGACCGGAAGACGCAGATCGGCACGGATGGTTTTGGACCTGATTTGGAGAAGTGACCGGCTTCGAGTACCCTTTTGGAGGCCACAATTCAAGCATCTTCGTGCATGTTTCCAACTGGGCAAATGCACCTTCGAGCACCGCCCGGAGAAAAGATCGCTCTTTGTGATATCATGTAGTGCCAGGATGTGCCAGGCCTAGGGGCCTATTGTACAATTTCTCCAGTCTAACTATATACTTCACTCCTTGTTCAGCAAGCTGGGGACAGTTTGTTTGTTTGTTTGTTTGATTGCATGTGATGAATGCATGAGTGGTTGACTTCGGTCAATCCAGCTACTCCGACCACTCTGAAAACAACAAGGTCCAACGTTCGCTTCCAACCGAAGGGATATGACCCAGACCCAGCCGCATTTGACCCAAATCTAATCCACATCTGTAGAAGGGCCCTTGCTGCCATCGCGCAGGTGGGCCACTTATTTGAGTCCTTAGCTGCCAGGGTGGCTGCTGAGATGGGGCGGTGAGTGGGATCGCAATCGCCCACTACTCAGAACATGCGAACCTGACCAGATTGTAAGCTCTTTGTTCAAGAACCAAAAACTTCAAGTCACTTCACTCTTCTCCCTGGATGGTCACTTGCAGTGAGTGAACCCCATGGAGCAACGTGGAGCGTGCCTTTCCCGAGCGCCGAGCAGACGATGCTCCTCTTTTCCGCAAAAGGTGCAAGTCAGGAGGTTGAAGGGAAGTGACGATTTCCCAGGGAATGGGCATGTTGGCTCTTGAGAAGTATCAGTGTATATAACATGTGTAACTGCCCTTCGCTGTTCCAGAAACTGAAGTTTTAGATATTCAACTTCGATGCACCGAAAACGCGATGAAAACGCGCCGAAAAGATCAAGTGGATCCAGTGCAGCCCGAACACGCTGAAGAGCAGCGGCTCGTTCTTTTGCAGTTTAGCTCCAAAACAAGCGACTGTTTGAATGTCTTTAGCTTGTGCAGGTAATGACCTCGACGTATGACAGATCTAAGGTGCTTGAAGTAAAGAACTTCAAGTTTTGGCCTGGATGGCATTTTCAATCATTTTCAGCATAGAGTTTTTGGGTGTCACTCATGATTGGAACTACTACAACTTTTTGGAATTAGGTGTCCTCCAACTCCAACTTCAACTTCAGAGTGAACCTCCCTCCAGGCAGAGTGGGGCGAAAAGACTTTCTGCCATCCAAAATGCTGCAGCTCTTTGAAACAATGAATGGGAGTTCCCAGAGAATTGAATGAACAGCCACGCTCAACCTTCGTCATTGGCCTGCACTTCAATTTGAGGGCAACCCATGACACTTCCAGAATCACTGAATGACAGCAAAATGATGAGACTCTCCTAGCAAATGTTTGTGATAGTGATCGTCTATACATTTTCTGACGCCCTCAACAAGAATTTCTGAAGTCCAGCCTGTGGCGGGTGGGGTAAACTGCTTGCATTCACACTGAGTTCCACTCTGGCGTCTCCACCTGCTGGTCCTGCTTGTGTGGCGATTGGCTCGAGTCCGCTTGATGCTCTTTTAAAGGCAGCGCCATGGAGGTGTAAGGCCAGCCTTCGCTTTCGCACCTTTGATCTATTTGATATATTGTATAATTACTAATATTCTGAGTATTCTGAATGGTCTAGTAGAAACCCACAATTGTCTGGGCGCAGACATGAAGGGAAAGAGCGCCCGCAAGCGTTCCCAGGCGTTGCGCCTGGGAACGCGCCCGCAAGCGCGGTCGGCGGTTGGCGCCCGCGCAGCTGCCAGTGCAGGTCCAGTGAGGCTGGCTACATCTGGCTGCTGGTAGCGAGTTTTGTTTTCTGAAGGAGAGGGCCTCTACAAACCAACCTTTTTGCAGGGGCGCCACATCCTGGGGCTTTGGCGCCACATCCTTGACTCATACACTTTGTGGCATTTTTGTGGACGCCCTTGATCTCATAGCCTTATCCCTCAACTAGTCTGAACGGATCATTTTTGCACCATAGAACTGAGTAGCTTTCGGTGACAATCATGATCAATCATGTATTTTCAGTATCAATGCTTGGACGAAGTTTCCATATGCACCAACATACTGTACCTGTTGCTACAGCAAACGTCGCCGATGCGTTGAACAAACGAAACGTTTCTTTCACCCATTTCTGGACATGTGCCAGTCTACCACTGCATTGTCTTCTCGCATGTGATGTTTTCTCGTCCAGTCAGCTGATCTACCCCTTTCTTGTGAGTTTGCTTTTACAGCTCTCGGCTGTGCAGGGGGCAGTTGCAAGTAGCAACGCTTTGAAACAGCAAAGAGAGCAAAAGGGAGCAAAGGCACACCATCCCGCCTGAGCTCAATCATTGACACAACTTTTCCTAAACACCGAGGAGCTTCTGAGGAATGCGCTTGGCCAATCACTTTGTTCTCCAAAGATCCCATTGCACAGGGAATGATTTGCATGTCTGACTGCACAGCGCAGCCTGGCACGCTCCCGCCGAGTGTGCTAGCAACAGAATGGATTGGTTCGTTGGTTTGTTGGACCAGTCCTTCACCGGGCAAGCGCTGCGCAGTACTTGTAGCAAATAGAGCAGAAAACGAAGGCCAGTCAAGCCCCCATGTTCGACCATGTTTTCCTGGTGCAGGGGGCATTCACCATGCCAATGACGGCTCCAGGGCTGCTTGGTGGGGAAGGAACGGTCCAACTGGTGGTGGGAGTGTGAACATTTTGTGGGTGGACACCCCTACAGCTGGTGGATTGGGCACGGAAAGGAGCCTGGTCTGATTGGCTCGAACTGAGGATGGCACCCTCCATGCCGGGAGCTCCGATGCTGGTCCGGCCCCCAGAATCCCAGAAGCTTGAGCCAAACTGCCGGCGACCACTGACATCTTTTGGGGCATCTCCAACGTTGCAGGGCTGATTTGAGCCAAGCTCATCTAGGAGATTTACAAAGTCAGCTGCTCAGCTTTCAGACTGCGTTTCGGAATGAACCATGCCAGGTGCCGGTGCCAGCTGGACACCCTCTTCCGGCCACTTTGCGCCTCGGCCTTCGACTCTGGGCCGGTTTGTCCTTTGGATGCGGACCAACCTGTTCGATCCAAACTGGTATGCCATCGGCATCCGATTGCCCCCTTTTCCTTTGCTTTCGTAAATGGAATGCTGCACACTCTACTACTGCTACACTCTGCTTGCTCTTTGCTGGATGCTTGATGATGCTTGGGCGGAGTGAACAAGACCAGACCATCATAAAAATGCATTTGCAGAGACCTTATGTGCTCAAATAAATATCAACATCCACGTGCTTATATAAGTATGAAGATGTCACATTCTTGTCGCATGGGCTCTCGCGCTCCTTCCACAGTTATTTTTAACAAATATATGCATATATGATCCATTATTGGTTGCCCCTGGACCAATTCACTGATCATGCGTCCGACTACGTCCCATCCGGTTCATCGGTGATTCGTCCCATTCGCTCCTCGAAACGGAGCGACCCGAATCACAGCGATTCGGATCGGAGCGGCTTCTCCAAACGGATCGGTTGTTTCAAACGACTGGGCGACTGGCCGGAACGCCAATGACCACTTTTCCACATGCATCCATTCAAAGTTCAGTGGTTGCAAAAGCACAAAAGAAACGGGAAGAATCCAAATCCAGTGAAATCCAGCTACTTTCTTTCCTGATTGATGTGTTGCTTTTGCTTGCTTTGGCTTCCCAGCTGAGCTCCTCTCGTGCCAGCTGAGGCCATCCCTGCCTCCGCTGTAGCTCGGCCAGACCATGCGGAGGGGGCCGAGAGGGGGCTCGGCTCGGCGACGGACATGGCATGCTTCCGACTTTCGCAGGGGGGAGTGCTTAGGAAAAACATGGGGTACTCATGGGTACTCTGGGAATTTGGGAAAAGCAGTGCAAAACAAAGTTTGCACGTTGGCTGAAAGCCATGATTTCTTAGAATTGCCGGTCCAGGTCAGTCGTACTCTGCTGTTGCTCCGTGACGCATTTCCACTGTCGATTCCCACGACAGGGGTGCCCCTGGCTTGCCTGGCATGATGACACTCGGCTAGCGGCTAGCGGCTAGCGCAGAAACTCCAGCTGTGCTTGCGAAGTGTTTTGCAGGACCTATATAAGAGGTCTACTGCCGAGGATAAAGGTTATGCAGTGCATGGGCAGGAATTTTGGGAGATCTGAGGACAATGCCACCTCCCACGTCTGGAGCAACTGTGCTTCTTGGCTGCTAAGAGAGATAGATAGATAGATAGATAGAGCAGACCACCACGAGCCTTCAGGCCATTGGACAACTCCTCTGCAGTATGATAGGGGACTTCAATCGCACCACTTCAATCGCACAGTTCGTGGAACACATTTGTACAATCACACCATTTGACCCTCTACGGGTCAAAACATGGTACCGTAGGAAAGCGATGCAGCCGCCCCAAAGGGCTATGCTTTGTTCAAGAAACTACTAGGAACAAAGGGCTACACTTGTTTGGTTGAAACCTGTCCTTACTTAATGAAAGCGATGCCCGTTTTGACAGCCGCAACCTCAAGCCAAACACTGAGGTCGATCGCCATTGACCACTTGCCCTTTCGCTATCAGCTTTCGGAGGCCAGGTGCCACCTGCTTGGGAACTCTGGGGTCGAGTTGTGCCAAGAAGGACTTTAGATACATGAAGTTCTAGCCCCTAATAGCGTCCTTGCTCCTAATAGTAAGGCGAGGAGCCCCTAGTAGCGCCCTTGCTCCTAGTAGCGATGCCAGGGGCCCTTAGTAGCGTCCTTGCTCCCAGTAGCGATGGAGCCCCTAGTAGCGTCCTTGCTCCTAGTAGCGATGCCAGGAGCACTTGAAATTCTAGCCCTCAGGAAAACTTATTCACCTTCGTGCAATCACATGTCACATGGCTACCTGAGAGTGCGCAGCCTTGCATCGCTTTGCGTGCCGCCAGGCTGATTTGAAAGAGACCTTTCAGCGATGGGGTACGGTGCAGTCGGTGCAGGTGTGGTAAGTGGACACATGCGAGTGAGGGCAGTGCTGAAGATTCTGCAAAAGACCGACATGAGGATGCATGAACCAACCAGGATGAACATGTATATACAGTCTGTAGACATGTAGATGCATGAAGCCAAGTGACTCCAGGTGGTGCGGGATGGTGGCAATGACGTTGGCTGTGTACAGTTTGCAGACCCGGCGACTTGTTCGCGGAAAATGGATTCAGCTTGAAAGTCGATCATGAGGTCTCACTTCAAACCGCTTCCTTCACGAGCAGAGTCGTTTCCTTTGCTTTCTTGTTTTGATATTGGAGGGACGGATACGACAAGAAAGGGGTTCAAAAAGGAAGAACAAACACAGAAACACACATGGGACAATGACTCAATCCAAGCACTTGATTTGGCGCGGACACCTGACACGTTGCATTTCCCTTTTTGAGCCCTTGGGCCTTTGGGTGCTTTTTCTGTTTGATGTCTAGCCTATTCGCCTCTTTTGGATGGAGATGGAGGAACTCAGAAAACTGAAGGGAACACTGATGTTGACCATACCCAGCTTGGTGTCTCAGTGTCTCAGCATCCTCATGGCTCAGGTTGATGCGCAGGATGCGCAAAAGCAACTCACGGGGCAAAGCTGCACCTTCGACGGGCGCCAGGGCACCCTGGTGCTGGTCATGGGGAGCCCTTTTCAACTGCAGCCTGGAGACCCAGCATGGAGTGAAGGGCACAGAGGCAGTGGTGTACGGAGACAACAGAGAGAGAGAGAGAGAGATATCACGAAAGCCAGCCGGTAGGCTGGGCTTGAGGTTGTTGGAGCGAACGAAGTGAGTAAAGGGGGTGTGGGGGGGGGTGGTTGCGTGGTGGCTACTTTTGGGAGAGGTGAACCCAGAGCCTGGTGGGGGAGAGCAACAAAAAGAGGCGGGCCACTTGGTAGTGAAAAATGGGTGGTTTGAGGGGTGTTGTGATGCCGGTGATGTAGTTGACGGCCAGTGTGCATCATTAGCATCACGAGGGGCTCAGGAGGCAATTTAAACCGTTTTCTACCAGTGGGAGTTCATGTCAATCATAGGAAAGAGGGGACAACGGGACGCGAAAAGTGGTTGGAACTCATCCAGAAAGGGAGATGTGCGCCTCTCATGGCCAATGAAGTAGTGTGAAAGGTGTGTGTGTGTGTGTGCCCCTTCTAATCACAGGGATCCCGCCGGATTGTGCTTTCTTCTTTTTGTTTTAAGCAGGGGGCATGCGGCCATCACGCAAACGCATGCCAACGAAGCTATGCGTGATGGTGGAAGCCAGGTCTGATCAACCTGGTGTACCTGCTATTGAGAACCTAAGTACGGCCAAAGCTGTCTCATTCTTTGTTGTGCAGTAAGCGGTTAATGCAGCGGCGATTCACCTTGGAGTCTTTGAACCTGTTCGATTCGCTCAATCCGTCGTCACCCTGTCGCCGCCGCTCGACCTCGTATTCATAGGTTTGGAGACCTCTTACTTACTACCTGGAATCTTAGGCGGTTTTGCTTAGGCCGGCGTGTGGCGCCGCTTTCAGTTCAGTACACCCTGATCTGTGAGGAGCCAGAATGCTGTGGGAAAGGTGGAAGACAGGCATAGCGTGGGAGGACGTGGTAGGAAGAGAGTGTTTGCAAGAAATGTTCGAGTTGCTTGGGGTGCCCTTTTTTCCCCAGATAGCGAAGCTATGGGGTTCTAACTTCAAAAAAAGTGAGTTGCCCGTGCGCGCTTTCGAGACAGGTTGCTGGTGCTGGGCGCCGGTGCTGGTGATGGTGCTGTGAGCTGGCTGTGCGCGTGGTGGAGAGAGGTTGCTGGCGCCGGTGCTGGTGCAGTGCCGGGTGTGGCGCCGGTGCTGGTGCTGGTGCGGTGAGCGCGTGGTGGAGACAGGTTGCTGGTGCTGGTGCCGGGTGCCGGTGCTGGTGCTGGCGCTGTGAGTTGGCTGTGCACGTGGTGGAGACAGGGTTGCTAGTGCTGGTGCCGGGTGCCGGTGCTGGTGCCAGATGCCGGTGCTGGTGCTGTGCTGGCTGTGCGCATGGTGGAGACAGGTTGCTGATGCTGTTGCCGGATGCCGGTGCTGGTGCTGGGTGGTGCTGGCGCTGTAAGCTGGGTGTGCACGTGGTGGAGACAGGTTGCTGGTGCCGGTGCTGCCGGGTGCCGGTGCTGGTGCTGGTCCTGTGAGCTGGCTGTGCGACAGGTTGCTGGTGCTGGTGCCGGGCGGTGGTGCTGGTGCTGTGAGCTGGTGCTGGTGCCGGGTGCCAGTGCTGGTGCTGGTGCTGGGGTGCGGTCGTGGTGGAGACAGGTTGCTGGTGCTGGTGCTGGTGCTGGGTCCGGTGCTGGTGCTGGGCGCCGGTGCTGGCGCTGGTGGTGTAGCTTGCATATATGTGGCGATCTTTTGTGTCCAGATAGCGAAGCTATGGGGTTCTTACTTCAAATATCAATGAGCTGCCTGCGCGCGCTTTTGAGACAGGTTGCCGGCGCTGGTGGGCGGTGGAAACAGGGTGCCGGTGCTGGGCGCCGGTGCCGGGTGCTGGTGCGGGCTGTGGTGCTGGTGCTGGGTGCCGGTGCTGTGAGCTGGCAGAGTGCGTGGTGGAGACTGTGTGCAGTGCTGGGTGCTGGCTGTGCGCGTGGTGGAGACAGGGTGCCGGGTGCTGGTATACCGGTGCTGGGTCGCCGCTTCTGACAATGAAGTGCAAGCAAGCATGGGCCACATGAACTTATGCGCGCAACATCATACCTTGAGCGTTCTTTGTCTATTAGCGCTGTGGTGTATTTACGTTCTTCAGGTTCTGTTTTGGCCGACAGCTGTGTCAAGGGCTGTACTGTTTGCGCGCATACTTTTGCACGTATAATGTTCTATGCGCAACGTCAGGCTCTCAACCGACCATTGTTTCAGCATGTTTCAGCATGTTTCAGCATGCTACACACACACAACAGTCGTGCTGGATACTGCTTGGCCTTGGGCGAGTGAAGCCTAGGGGCTTTGCCGATTGCGCGCTTACTTTTGCGCGTGTAACCTTATACGCGCAAGGTCATACGGCCTTATCGTTCTGCAGATCGTTGCTTCAAGCGCGCTACAAAGTCAATAATGGCGCTGGATACTGCCTGGCCTTGGGCCAATGACACTTACGGGCTTTGCTGTTTGCGCGCATACTTTTGTGTGCATATACGCGCAAGATCATACGTTGTTATTCCCCAAGTAGGGATAGCTATGGGGTTCTTGCTGCTAATAAGAATGAATTGGCTGCGCGCGCTTTCAATTGTCGGTGCTGGTGCTGGTGTTGTGGTCCTGGGTGCTGGTGCTGTGAGCTGGCTGAGCGCGCGTTTAATGCGGGTGGCGGCGTTGGCCGGGTGCTGGTGTCAGCTGATTGTGCGAGGTGTTGTAAGCTGGCTGTGCAGGCTGCGTACATTCTTGTTCCAGCCAGTCGCATGTCAACAGGTCGTGGGATTCTGCCTAGCTATCTGGGTCTATGCTGGTGTAATTTAATGGTGAAGATGCCTGTCAACTATACGCAAAAGGACACCCCATACGGGGTGCGAGTTCATGTGATGCTGTGGTCCGTTGAGGAGGGCAGGAAAGAGAACAAAATGCAGCGGGCAAGTTTTGAATTGCTTGGGGGTGCCGTTTTTTAACGGTGAAGAGGTCTAGTTGCCGGACTCAAAAGGGCGCCCCATATGGGGTGGAGTTCATGTGGACGAGACAGGCATAGTGGAGGAGGACGTGAAAGGAAAAGAGGGATTGCAAGAAACGATGTGACCCATTCATTGAGAACAGGGAGGGAACAGAATGCAGCGGGCATGCTTTGAGTTGCTTGGGGGTGCCCTTTTTACGGTGAAGAGACCTGTTGACCAGACGCAAAAGGGCACCAAATATGGAGTGGGAGTTCATGTGCAAAATGGGCATAGTGGGGGAGGAGGTGATAGGAAAAGAGGTGGGGAGCTCACCAGGGTTCTCGCATTCACCCCCGATAACCATATTGATATCTTTTACGGTGGCTGGCTTTCGTCCCCTCCCTTCTCAGGTGTGTATATATATATATATATACGAGGACAAGGCATGGACAACAAGAAAGACTTTTCAGTTGCCATGAGTGTGGGTTTTAGCGGAACATTTTCTAAGGAACAGACAAGTGCCCGGCCAAGCAGGCTTGGGAGACATTGTTGGTGATGGAGAATGGGCAGAGTGCCTCTGCATTTGTTTTGAAAGTCGAAACAGGTGTTGCAGTTGCATGTATGTGCCAGAAGCGATGCAACCCTGATTACAGTGAGAAGTTAGGTGTTGGAGTGTTGGCTCTCCCAGCCAGCTCCAATTGTTATTTGTGTTGACAGGTCCTGGACCTGTGGCTGCGCCCTTGTGGGGCCCTCAACTGTCACGTGAGATTCGATCCCGGTGAGGAAGTCACCTCAGTGGACTGGAGTGTTGGCTCATGGACCGAGGTCAGCTCCTAGCGCTTGTGGGCCAGGCCAACTGGAAGCGGCGTTCATTTTCCTTTTCAGTTTTTCATGGCCAGATGACATCGGAGCATCATATGAGTGTGGTGTTGTCAGCAGTTGACAGTTGGCAAGTGTATATGAACCGACGACATTTGCAAGAGTGTCTCCCAAGAACATGGTAGGTTGTGGTAGGTTGACATCGCTGGTTGTTTATCCCTTGTTACTAGTAGCTTCTTGCTGCTATTCTTCTTGGGCATTACTGTAGTTTTCACCCATAGCCAGGTAGGCAACTCGCAACTTGGGGGGTAGCTTCTCCTCGGGCTGCTTGAGGTGCGCCGAAGAACGGCAGCCCGGTCAAGGGTGATGGCAAGGGGATCGCGCGAGGGCCGCAGAGGGGTTTTCACGCGATCGGCTTTCGGAGGGCTTCCATGTGCTGTGAAGATGTGCGGCCTGAGGCCGGTCAATGGCCATGTTCGACCCACATGGTGTTGTAAGATCGTGGTGGAGGCCTGGTGTTTTGCATGGTGCCTGGATCTGACTTGGTCTTCACAGAATGCCCCTCGGATCCACCTCCTTGCTTGGGAGGCAGAATCACTGCATCCCAAGTTTCCTACGGTCCTGTGCCCGGTTGATGGAAGAATTTCGGATTCAGTTTTAGCCTTCAAAGTTTTGTTCTGACACCTGCGTTCATCATTGGTAGGTGCAGTTGGAAGGGTTGTGGGTAGAGTCATGGCAGTACAGTTGATTGATGTGGCCGGCAAGAGGAATGGTCTCGCAGTGGAATTTAGAACGAGTCATGAGATTCTGAGATGGATTCCCAATCACCTTTGCAACAACGAGGCACAGAGAATCCGAGGAGATGGTGATGCAAATTTGGAGCACATAAGGCCAGGCCTTTGTGTAGGACGGCGGTCTTCGCGAGATCGCTTGCAGTATGTCTCATAATTGGGTGGACATGCAGGGACAAAGCCCCAAACCACATTTTGGAGTTGCAGGCCTCATCATCCCGCATGTCCTGATTGTATATGAGAAAGATGGATATGTGATGATATTTGTTAATCTACCCGTTAGCTTCCTTGGACCATTTGATGTTGCAACTGAGAAATCGACTCAGAACAGCTGAGGGCGCCCTCTCGGGCTCAGGACACAGACGAAGTGCCACGTGCAGCTGCGGGGCCGCAACTCGGGGACCCCGGAGCCTGAGACCGGTCAGGACGGGGCGCGAAACGAGGGGGAAGGAGGCTAGCCATTGATTCGAGATCAAGTAGGAGTTAGCAGTCAAGTGAAGAAAAGACAGATTTTCATAGATTTTCAGCATCATCCAGATTTGATGTCTGCCTTCTTGTTGGGCCAACGGATAAGTGGGCAGGAGTTGCCAGAGCAGATGTTCTTGTGGCTCACAAGTTCTAGCCTCAAGAGGGTACACGGGAGAGGCCGTGCGCCGAGAAGCAGAACAGATCCAAAGACCGACACATGAGACCGGCATGAATACCTTTTCAAGTAGGCCAGAAGTAGAGCCGCACACACTCGAACCGACTTCATCCCTTTCCTCGTCAAGTGAGTTGAGGTGATAGTGCGGAGAACGGCAAAGCATCACTGGAGACGACCATGGACAGCAGTAACTCGTGTCGGGAGTTGGATGACTTGGGGTGATTGATGTGACCGATTTGGCCCGTTTAGACTGCCGTTGATTTGGACATGCAATGAAAAAAGAAGCTTTACAGTTTACAGTTTACGATGTAAGTGAAAACAAAGTAAAAAGGATTCCGCTCTTCCAAAAGGATTTCGCCCTGCAGAGAAGAGCATCCGCAGGACCTGCTGAAGAGCATCTATGAAGGTCATCAGCAGTGCTACACCCAGAGTGTGGGTGGGCCACCAGTTGCCAATTCACCGTGCCGCGCGGCATATCCGGGTAGGGGCTCACTGACACACGGCACAGGTGGTGTGAGACGAATGGCATTGGTGTTAAGGATGTCAAAGCGCGGCTTGGCTGTCAAGCTTAGAAGGTACTGGAGCGGGTGGGATGGCCAAGATGGAAATCATAATGACAGTCGTAGGCTTTGGAGCTTCTTAACAGGGACGGAGTGACTGAATTCCGAAACTGACCCTGGAATGTTGTTGCGGTTGGCACATCTTCACCTGGCGTGTCACGCACGCTGAGGCGGGTCATTGAGAACCCAGAGATCCTGCCAGGCGAGGACGGCACTCGCCTGGATGATCAGATTGTGGGTTTCCGCACAGCGGCAGGCTCCCTCGCAGCCGGCGCTTCAATGGGACAGGCGGGTCAGATAGGGATGGGAAGTCCTTCCCAGTGAGAAAGCGCTTCCCATCTCAACGAACGACCACCGGACGCTGAAAAGACTGAGGTGGTCCCACCACCTCCAAACAGCTTTGGTTTGGATCTGAGTCATTGTCTAGTTTGGTTCTGAAACAGTTTTCAGAAGGCCCCTTTGTCCGACAAGCAAGACCTCTTTCATATTTAAGGGCTGTCAGGCGTAAATGGGGAAGGTAAAAGGAGGAGGAGGAGGCGGAGGAGGAGGAGGCGGAGGAGGAGGAGGAGGCGGAGGAAGGAGGGAGTGAGGGAGTGAGGGAGTGAGGGTGTGAGTGAGAAAGGGAGGGAGGGAGGGACTGAGTGTAGGCGGAAGGAGTTGTAGTGGCTGCGGGGGTGTATTTCAAGGCTTATGCCCAAGCGGGCCCGGCAGCAGGCGTCAGGCGCAACCGTAAGCAGGGCCTCGTCCGCTTCCTCTTCCTCTTCCCCTTTTTTTTTCTCTCTCTCTCTCTCTGTGTCTCTGTCTCTTTCTCTTTCTCTTCCTCCGACCGATTTCTTTCTTTCTTTCTGTCTTTCTGTCTTTCTTTCTTTCTTTCTTTCTCTCTTTCTTTCTTTCTTTCTTTCTTTCTCTCTCTCTCTCTTTCTCATGCTCTTTTTCTCTCTCTCTCTCTCTCTTGCTCTTCCTCTGTCTCTTTTTCTTCCTCCTGCCTTTCTCTTTCTCTTTCTCTGCCTCTTCCTCTTCCTCTTGGTCTTTCTCTTCCTCGCCCGCGGTTCTTTCTCTGTCTCTGTCTCT